TCATTTATGGTTACGGAAAATGTAACCTGAAAAGAGGACACAGAAAACCCTCACTATCGGAGTAAAATTTCTCTAGTTTTACAAAAACTGTCATTGACTAATATTTTATCGTTATCTACCAATATTCCTAGGAATGATTTAAATGTAGTTTCGATAGATTAAGCTCAATGTTAACTCCGCCTACAGCCCACATAAAACTAATGTTAGTCCCAAGCCCACACAAAGGAGAAGCGTTAGGAGTGGGATCGGCATCCTCATCCTGTAGAACACGACACTGCTAAGAAAACGCTCACCAAAATTAACAAATTACACCATTCAAACTCTGACATCCAAGTTTAAGGGTCTCCTTTCAGAACAATTATGACGCCTCATGATGAAAGCCAAGGTTCTGCCGAAGTCACGAGGCCGATACCACTTCTAATAATCAGAGCAACAATTAATATAAATTCATGGAATGTTCGCACAATGTGAGAAACTGGAAAGATCAATCAAATAGCTGTGGAAATGAGATTATACAACTTGATAGTATTCGGAATCAGTGAGACCCATTGAACTCAAGCTGGACAGAAAATGATAGATTGAGGAGAGATGCTGTTGTGCTCTGGTTATGAAGAAGGAAATGCTGAACACACACCGAGAGAGTTGCTCTGATTTTGAACACAGAAGCACAAAGAGCACTTGTAGAATGGAAGTCTCAAGACAAATAAGGGATGGATCACATTAAATGTTATCCAGTGCTATGCATCCACCAACCACAGCAATGAAGACGATAAAGATCAGTTTTATGAGAGGCTGCAATTAGTCGATCGTGGAGAAGTGCACAATGTACGAACTGTAGGAACCATCCTAATGGCAAACTTGAAGGTCGAATTCGGAATGGACAACACCGGATATGAAGATGACATTGGACGACATGAGCTGACTGGGAGAAACGTACGAGTATGGAGAGAGAGATATATGTAGAGAGTTGCAAATTCATGTGAATTCAATAAATTGGTTATTGATATTGCTTTATTCACCCACAGACGCATACACGAAAACCATATGGGACTCACCGGATCACATCACACTACAGAGAACCAGATGGATCTTATCTGCGTCACTAGAAAACTCAGAAGATTAATGGAAGACAAGAGAACCAGAAGATGAGCTGACATGGCTTAGATCACCACCTGCTTGTGGTTGACAAGGTGAAACTGAAGTTAAAGAAGCACTGGACAACTGGCGAAACAGCATTACAAAGGTTCGATACAGCCCTCCTTCGACATGCTGACAAACTCAACCAATTCAAGATAACTCTGAACAACAGGTTCCAAGTCTTACGAGATCTGCTGGAGGTAGAAGAAGAAGAAGAGACTACTATGGTGGAGAATTGAAAATAGATCGAAGGAGCACTAACTTCAACGTGTCAGGAGGTTCTGGGCTGAAGGAAACATCATCATAACCAATAGATCTCCATCGAAATGCTGAACAAGGTTCAAGAAAGGAAGAACATGAGGACATCAATCAACAACAGCCGAACAAGAACAGAGAGAGTGAAGGCTCAAAGTGAATACACTGAAGCCAATCACTGAGATTCAAGTACAGAGGAACGGGTGGGTAGAACACTTTGAAGAAATCATGAAAAGACCAGCTCTAATGAACAAATCAAGAGAGTGATAGCATCAGGACCAAACAACATACCATCTGAAGCACTGATGTTAGACAAAGAAGCAATTACGGATAAATGTTGAACGATCAATTGAATAGAGCTCATAGTTATTCATCAACTTCCACGAATATGCGAAAGCATTTGACAGCGCGGATAGGAGAATCCTATGAAAGCTTCTTCGTAACTATGGTGTACCTGAGACGATCGTCATCATTATACTAAATTCATAGGACGGACTGCACTGCAATGTCGTGCATGAAGGACACCTGACGGTTGCGTTCGAAGTAAGGACCGGTGTTATACAAGGCTGCTTACTATCTCCCTTCTCATTTCTTCTGGTGGTTGACTAGATCATGAAGACCTCGACATCCGAGTGGAAGCACGAAATGCAATGGACAACTTGCATGCAGTTGGATTAGTCGGAATCCCAGATGACCTAGCCCTCCGATATCACACACAGATACGGATTCAGGTGAAGACAGTCAACGTATCGTCAGGTTCTGCAGCAGTAGACCTCAAACCAGCACCAAAAATATCACACTTGACAGAGGAGCTCTGAAATGGCTGGAAAGATTTACGTACCTGAGGACGATCATTGATGAACAAGGGGGATCTGATGCAGATGTGAAGCCACAGATTGGCAAAGCAGGGACAGCATTCCTACAGTTAATTATTATATGGAACACGGAGAAATTTCAAGCACAAGCTAAGTACATAGAAGCAAACAAGCAAGTGAAGTAAAGCATTAGAGCCGACAAGAAGAAATACGTGGGAGAACTAGCAGTGATATCGGAAAAAGCTGCAAGAGAAGGAAATATGGAAAAGCTTTATGATACAACGAAGATAATAGCTTATACTTCTCCACGAGAGTTAACAGGTATAAGTATCTAAGTAAGTAAATTCTAGTATCTCCAACTTGTTTTGACTTTTATCGATTAGGGAATATTTACTAGAAATGTTGTGGTGACGATAATGGGAGACTTTCAGTGTGAAACAAGAAACATAATATAAAATAAATGCTAACCGGTAAAGTCATTAAAGGTAACAGTTCAGAAAAACAACTATTGATGTCAGAGATGATATTACTGAGTTCAGGTGTAACTTTAGAATGAAGGCAAATTAATAATGTCTGATTTCTTTCTTTTTTTGAATATTATAGTGTGAATACTTATGTACGAACTTTATTTTTAAAATGAACAATAATTGACTTTCAGTTTTATTCAGCTGTTGCCTTATTTGATTAAATATAGGACGAAACTTGCAAATATTGAATGTTTCAGAATCACAAAATAATGTATTTCTGAATCAAAAAGAAATAATAATAATTTAAAGATATATATGATTATTCCGAAATAGTTTTGAACCATTTATGTGGTAGGTTACTTATTCGATCTGACTGTATTGTAATGTTTTAACAAAGTGCTGAGTAAATAGTTGAATATACGGCAATGCTTTTCATTTAAGTTCTAAAAATTCAAAATAATTGATGAACATGCATCCCTCGTTCATCAACTAGGTGTCTCTTTTATTCTTCTTTATTTCTACATTGGATCAGTAAACTTCATTTCAAGTTAAAACTAGAAGTATCGACTTTTATTCATACCGTCCTTTATCTGTTATAGCTGATAACGCCAACTACATGGAATGGTTGATTTGTTATTATATAGCTCAAAGTAGTCAGCGGAAAACCCTGGACCTAGTTAGTGATCGTCGGTTATTCGGTTCAAATAGCTTAGTGGTCAAGTATCAGACTCTGAAACTGGATAACGTAGGTTTTGATTCTACAAATGCCACTCGTTACCTTAAGATTATGGGTATAGGATACTGAAGAATCTCAACCATCACGAAACCCAGGTTAGAGGTCTTCTTTTGACTACCTCCTATCATCTAACAGACTAAAAACTAAACCAGTACATTTAACGTAATCCAAAGAAGGGACTTCGACAGACTACCTTCCAATAGAGTTTTATTAAGTCAATGGATGAATGATGATCTACAAAAATAGGCCGTAATAAATAATTCTCTTGTATAAGCTATCTCAATTTTTAGTAAAAGTGTTACCTATGGAGTTGGGTAGGAAGTGGGAAAGTTTTTCACTGAAGTATAAATAAACTAAATAAAGTTAGAAGTTTGAACCATCTAATTCTGTCATGGTGGTTCGAACCTATTATGTTCAGTTTATAACAGCATTCTAATACATCTGGTTTCTACAACTGCCTATAAAACCACAGAGTAAATGATTATAATTTCATCCTTATTGTGGATAGTTTAATTACATTCATAATTAATTTGGTTTCGTTTTCAATGTACTACTAAAATATCAGGAAAAGTAAAAACAATAATTCAAAATTAATTAATAGTCAGATAATTTCATAAATTGGCACGAAGGTATTACTCCAAGTTTATAAAATATCTGTTAATTGTTGCAATGTTATCTACAGAGATGAAGAATGATGGATTATGACACTTCAGTGGTTTATATTTACATCAAGCATTTCATTCTGAACAGTTCACTAGAATGCTAGAGAACTTATACAAAATATCTAAACCAAAGCATAATATCTGTTTAGAGCTGAAAGTAATGAGTGAAGTATTTAACTGATGAATAAACGACATACTTTCTCATTGATAACGATGAGGATGTTATGATGACTGAACGGAGTAGGTTCACAAATCAACGGTGAAATATTCGCAGAGATCAAATTCTAATTGTCTCCAACTTTTGATGAAAGTTTATCAGTAAAACTAAACTATGTTAATACAAAGCTGAGCTGTATTTTTACAGTAGTGTACCGAATGTAAAACGTCTAGATTTCCAGGATAGAATAACGTTTCTGGATTTTCCAATTATGATACTTTTTGTGACGACTAGTATGAGTTAGGACCAAGACAACCGTTTGATTTGGTTGTTCATAAATTCATCAGTTTTCTTTGCTGCATCATGAAATTGGATTAGTTTCGAAAATATCTATAAAATATAATTATGTTTAAGGTTTCAAACTTATTCCAAACCACGCAACTATTCTGTTTGATTCTTATTATTATTGTGGGCATTGTTAGTTACTAGTGAAAGTGAATTGTTAACACCAAATTCACTTTAATGAACTAATTTATCAGGATACACTGTTTTAAACCACACAAATTATCGCTGCATACATCAGTCGATAGTATTTTGACAGAAAATAAAAATTAACTTGACATAGAAGTTTATTGATAATTTTTAATACTTAAAATAGATAACAAACATTTTCTTACTGTAATATATTTGCCATACTTTTGTTTTACTGAATTATGAGACCTTCATAAAACGAGCACATACTACCGACAAATCAACTGGTGGTTTGTTCGATTAATAATAATAATAATCTTCAACAGGTGGTGGTCCAGTACAGTGTTTGACACATTCAAACATTTTTTGTACACATGCTTCAATTAGTGGTTGTGTTGTTGCATGTGCTTTCTGACATTTATCAGCTTCGACTCCACATTGAATTGTACATTCAATACTCAATTCTTCAGCTATTGGCATTGATATGATTACTTTGTGAGTGTAGAATAGGCTGATAATTAAAAGTTGTACCCAAAATACAGTTTGAAAATGCAACATCTTATTTACGAAAATTATCTGTTAATGAAAAATAATAAAGTCTTAAAGTAGGTCTCATAAATCTTTTTAAATCAATTGTTTACGAATTAAACAAACCAATTACTTGTAATTTCATCAAAATTATGGACCAGAATAGTATCATTTTCCTTTTAACTTTCAAGGAGATTTTAGTTAGTCTATTTAGGTGTTGAATTGAACATGGCGCGCTATTTGTGACGATTCTATTGTTAAGTCAAACATTGAAAATAGTTAAGTAATTTCCCAACTGAAAAATTTCGTTTCACAGAATTTTATTACATCTATTTATTTAGATTGATTCAATAAGAAACCATTTCCTTTTATATAAAATAAGCACTAAGTTCTACTTTTCCTGGATTTACTTCTCTTCACATGACATAAACATACTAATTCTTTACACTGAATAATTTAACGTTTTTAAAAAGTTGGTGTAGACAACGTTTAAACCTAGGAATGATTTGTTTAAAAATATGAAATCCGCTGTAAAACAAAAATTAACAGTTTCGAATGGGCTGTACTAATAGAATAATGACTGTTATGTGTCAGTATCCAATTATTTAGAAAAAATCGGATTCCAAATAGTGAATTTTCGGTTTTGGCACTTAATCTAAAAAGGGACAACAAAAATCAATCATCTGACTAGTAATGATGCATTTAAAGACTGAAGGACTTTCTCTTAACTGACAAAAAGTCTATTGTGTTTTATTGGGATAGCAATGAAAACATATGAATCTGAAGGTAAAAATTCTATTGTAAGAATAAATCAATTACTAGTGGCTTATCTAGTAATAACTCCCAGGTAAGTTATGCAATCAGTGAATCATCAGTGGAATGCAGACACTTGAACAAATTTCGATATCGTGACTCAAACATTTTCTCGTCAAGTAATTTTGTTGGTCTGTTAATATGTACATCCGCAAACAATGTAAAAGTTATCTGGAACTATCAAAAGGACTAACTACATTTTCATTAGGAATCCCGAGAGAAACCAATCTCGACTGGTATAAATGAGTCTCTGTACCAGTTAATATCCTATTTTGAATTATAAGGTCGATGATGAATTATAAAAGATTTAAAAGCAGTTTAAAAATCCGTAAACATTTAAATTTAAGTATTTCTGAAGAGACATTTTTAAAACATGAAGTTTATAGTGGTAGTTAATTACATGGAATTTATTAAAAAATACTTCCAATAATTAGTAAGATAGTGTGGGTTAAAAACTCTATTTGGTAAAAACAGGGATATATGAAATATGTTTCGATTTGATAATCCCTCTACAGGAGTATGCCATCAGTAAAAATCTACATAGTACCGAAGCAAAATTAGTAGAGCAAACGTCAGCTGGGAATTGATAAGTCATTTTTTAATCTTTTGGCAATAAAAAGTCACTACTTAAGCATGATTAGTAACTTTATGTCATTTGTTACATGAATTGGTGGTCAATAACTGGATTATTCTACATTATTGTTTTTCATTAATGAAGCCATCTTCTAAAAGATACATTTTATTTTAAAAAATGGTGGACGCAAATAAAATGGACTAACTAAAAAGAAACAATATTTTGCCACTGGTTGATCAATACTGACTCTTGCTGTAACAGTTTCAAAATAACCATTTATAGCTGTCCATATTCTTTAGTGAATTCAACAATATTTTGTTATTGTAGCATTGTTTAAGGGGACTTATTTAATTTTTGTCTGTTATTACTGTTTAATAACAACTTTGTTTCCATAAGTTACAAGGACTTCAATGGTCAGTTTACCTTTTTGAGTTTCAAATTTAAAACAGAAACAACTTCTAGATAAACTGCAATAAGTGAACATTCAAATGTAGCTAAAATAAAAAAAATTATACTCCTTAATGATAATTGGCTGATTGGGTAGGATTGGTAGAACATAGTAATGAATGAAATGTGATCAAGTTACTTTAAATTATTTCAATTATCAAAATAATTTCAATGAGATGATTTGTTGTAAAAAAAAATGTGTACAAATTAAATTAAACAGTTGGTGAATAACACTGTCTCTATAGCTGTATATTGTTTCACTGGAGTATATGAAGGAAAAATGAAAAAAGGATTTGAAACTCCGAAGAATATTTAACATCGTGAAAATTCCCATTTTGGCATGTGGCAAATAAGCAACGAACCGATTGAGCGAAGAAATTACTTTTAACAGTATATATATACTATCTAGTAACTCCACCTGGAGCCCTTCTGGGGCTACTGCTGGTCCCAAGCCCGGATAAAAGAGGAGGGTCGGGCATGGGGTCAGCGACCCCATCCCGTAGAAAGCTAACTCGCTAAATAAACGCTTACCAGGAGAAAATATTCAGTATACTGTTTAGTATTTTCATACCTGTTTCAAGGGTTAGTTCACTTATTCTGTCAAATAAAGGTTATTTACACTTATGAAATAATCTGCAAAAACACCAGTGACATGAAATGGTGGCTTTCACTTGGCTTGGTTTCTTATCCTTATTTTGTATAATTATTTTACTTTAAGGTAAACGTTATTTATTTGGTCAGCTAGTAAAGATTAGTTAGCATACAAATAAGATGTTCGTCGTGGACAGAAATCAACTGGTGAGCTACGAAAATCAGGGAAAATTTGATATTACTTACCTCCTAGATAAGTGCTCTTCCTCAAAGGGAACTGATGAGCCCAAATTAGACTGAATTCAAGACTCAGATTTTACATTTTACATTTCAAATAAATCACCACCATCGAAATAAAAAAAGTAACTCACCAATCTCACTCAGTGATAGCCATAGTATACGACAAATTGATTGTTATTGTTAATTTCCACTCAGTGGTTTTCAAATTATAATCCACACCGTGATTGTGTGTGTGAGTCCGTAGGTGTTCGCTAGCAGGAGTCCATAACTAGAGACAAGCAGTATTCTTCAGTGATTTCAATGTAGTTTAGTGGGGTCTAATGGGGTCAAGGTACCTTTGAAACTCTTATTTGCTTTTTTTGGCTTATATATTACATAATAACACACTACTAAATATTTGTAGTTAGAAAGCTTTTATTTTATTGAAAAAAAGAGTTGTCTTACATTAATCAATAGTGTTAAGAATAGTATGGAATTATGAAATGATTCAGATGAAAGTAAACTCAGTCGATTTATCATTATTGTTTTACCGGATTATGGATGCAATACGCCTGTTCGTTAACTCCAATTTAATTTATGCACCTTCAATGTTTCACCTTCCACTTCTTCATGCGAACTAGATACATGCAAGTAGTTATTTACTGTTTCAAAGTTGATAGCCTCTGACATACGCATACAGAAGAAAAAGGTAGAGATTTCGAGTTACCACTAAATTAAGCTTAAGCAAGAACGGTACATTGCAACTGAGATTCTAAAGTGAAGTATGTGAACAAAATGAGCTGGAAACAATTAAATCGTGTAAATGAGTCTAGGAAGTAACCCCCAAGTATAATATGCTGTAGTGAATGGGAACTCAGGTCGGGAAAAATGTTCTGACCAACGTTTGATCGTATTATTATAGAAAATATTTATCTATTCCATAAATACAAACAATCCTGGTAAATACCTATAGGTTTTGGTTCATTTTCAAACTATACTCAGTTTATAAAAGTCACTACCCTCGCGAAGGATATCTCAAAAACCTAGTAGTAGTCCATTACCTATGTAGTCAAGAAAGCCAATGTCCAAATTGTAACTTACAATGTTGCTGCACAAATATCGAGTCGGATCACAAAGTAACTGAATTAAGATATTTGAACCGGTCGATCAAAACTCAGTGGCTTGAAGGTTTTATATTCAATATATGGTCGGAAATTCCTGCTTTCGTGTCCATATGTATTGACCTGAAGTACATTAGTGAACAGTTTAAAATTTAGTAAAAAAACAGATATCTAGTGTTGCCTGATTTTTTAGTTGGTGCTTTAGGAATATAATTATATTAAGAAGTTCCACATTGATAAGTCTGTGTATCTGATGAAGTAAGATTACTGATGCAACTTACACTGTTATATTGGCTTCTAGTTGAAATTTAGTTTGCTTTACGTTCAATTCGGGTTTCAAATAAAAAAACCTTATAAAATTGTTTAACATCGTGTCCAAACATTTTTGGAAGAAGATTCGTTCTGGCTCGGTGCTAGTCATCCTGGTCTTTAAAAACGATAAGATGTTAGGATTAGTTTGCAATTATGTTCAGTGATAGTCTAATTTAGCTATGGTTAATTTTTTATCAAATTTCAGTGTTGTTAGTCAATTATTCAAGTAACTAACTAATCAACCAACTACAGGTTTTTGTAGAAGATATTGCAACAGGTTTATCGTCGGGACGCTTAAACAATTGTCCGGTTGCTCTATATAAATCCTAATAAAGAATTCCTGAACCATTGGATACTAAACAGAAGCAGTAAAGAGACGCAATTCCATAGTTCATCAACAATAACACTAAATATACTATAACATTACTATTATCATTATATCAAAAAGTGTTTGACTCTACATTTAGTGTTCGCACACCACTTACCGAGAATCGCTACATTTGAAAGCAATTTACAACTTTGATATGAATTTTCGGAAATTTAATGCTCATTTGCCAGTATGAATAAATCATTTTCAAATAGTCTTTGATTTAAATTGTGTCGTAAAATAACTACTTAAACAGGAAAAGAACTTGACTTTTTTAAAATTTATTTAATACCATAAGTAAAATACGCCTACTCATTCTTATTAAAATCAAGCACAATATTGTGGATTGTTAGTTTGCCTTTGGGAACTCGTTTTAATTTTGTCGTTATGCAATCATATTGTTTATATACCACTTCGGACTTCTCTCATTATTATTATATTATGCTAAACATTCTATTCATTTATCATTTTAATTTAATTTTTCTTTTTTTTTAAGATCTAAAAATAAAAACTCATAGAAATAAATTCTTGATGATATTTTGAAAAAGATTATTCGAGAGAAATTCAACTTCCGTACAAACACAGCAAAAATGTCAACTTTAGT